GAGCCCCCCCCCCCTCCCCAGACTGGGGAGGGGAGAGAGCCGGCCCCCACCCTCACAGGAGACTCGGAGACCTGGGAAGGGCAGGAGAGGCTGAGAGAGACGGAGCATTCCCTCCCCCATGCAGGGGAGAGAGATGGGTGCCCCAGCTACAGACAGCCCCTCCATCCTCCCAAAAGGAGACACCCCCAAATCAGACATCCTTCATGCCACATCTGAGAGCTCACACAACTGAGATGCCCTCAGTCTGAGCGAGACTTGATCCCAGACCCACCCCGGGGGCCCTCCTGAATCCGAGACACCCCTAGATCCCAGATTCTCCTCAGAGAATGCCCCCTGAATCTGAGATACTTCAGAAAGGGACCCTGAGTCCAGGATACCCCCAGATCCCTGGATTCTCTGAATCAGAGACTGTCTCAGAACCATCCCTGAGGGCCCTCGTGTGCCCCCAAACCTAGGCCCCCCCCATCCATGATTGTGAACTTCCAGAGAGGGCCTCTTGAATCCAAGACACCCCAAAATTCCAGAATCCCCTCAGACTCCCCAAATCTGGAACACCCCAGATTTTAGATCCTCCTGAGAGACCCCTTTTAAATCAGACACCCTCAGATCCCAAAGACGGTGCCCCCTGAACCTGCAACACCCCCAGCTTCTCCAAAGAGGCCCTCCAAATTAAATTCAAGACACCCCCAGATCTCAGACATGCCCAGAGAGGGCCTCCTAAATCTGGGACACTCACAGATTCTAGATCCTGCAGAGAAAGTACCCCAAATCCAAGACCTCCATGGCCCTAGACTCCCTGAAAGTGACCCCCACCTCCAAGACAATCCTGGATCCCAGACACCTTGGTGAACTCCCTGAATTTCAGATCCCCAAGACTGGACTCCTCAGACCTGAGAAACTGTCAGATGCCAGAGCAGGTCTGAAGCATCCCCAGATCCTCCCAGAGAAGACAGCCTAGGATGCCAGACACCCTAGCATTAGGTCCATGAGATCTGAGACATCACAGAGAGGGACCCCTGAATTTGGAACACCCCCAGTTCAGGCCAATTAGGTCTGAGATGCTCCCAGAGAATCCCTTCCTGGTTCTGATCTCCCTCCAAGGACTGACTCCTAATAAATGGAACCCAATCCAAGGCTAGCTCCCAGACATGTGACCCTGGCCATGTACAGGAACCCCACAGGAAGGGAGAATCCTGGGATGACTAACTCTCTCCCCTCCCATGGCAGATTGGTCACAATGTGATGGCGAGCGAGCCAACTGCTCAGACTTCTCGGGTGACACGCACAACCTCCCGCTTGACCTCTGGCCCTTGGAAACGCCCAGCTGCCCCAGCCCCTGCTGCAGCTGCCAGTGGGCCCCGCTTCTGGGAGGGGCAGGATGTGCTGGCCCGCTGGACTGATGGCCTGCTCTACCTGGGTACCATCAAGAAGGTGAGTGAGCCCCCCCCACACACACACACACAGGCTCCCTTCACTCCCTATCCCTGCACTCACCCTCTCTCCTCTGGCAGGTGGATGCTTCACGGCAGGTTTGTCTGGTGCAGTTTGAGGACAATTCCCAGTTCCTGGTGCTCTGGAAGGACATTAACCCTGGTGAGCCTTGCAGTTCTGATATAGTCTCACTCTCCGCCTGCTACGCCCCCTGTGCTTGCCCAGCTCCACAGCTTTGCCAGTGATCCTCAGCCTTTACCCACAGACGCTCAGGTCTGCTGACACCCCTATTCCCAATCTACTGCCCCTCCCCACCCTATCCCTTCCTTGGGCTTCCTCCACACATATCTCTACTGGTACTGCCCAGTCCTGATTGACAGCCTCCTGCTCGCCCGGCCCTGGGCTTTGCCAGTGCCCCTCCTATCCCAGCCCTGGGCTTTGCCAGGGCCCCTCACTCTCAGCCCTGGGCTTTGCCAGGGCCCCTCACTCTCAGCCCTGGGCTTTGCCAGGGCCCCTCACTCTCAGCCCTGGGCTTTGCCAGGGCCCCTCACTCTCAGCCCTGGGCTTTGCCAGGGCCCCTCACTCTCAGCCCTGGGCTTTGCCAGGGCCCCTCACTCTCAGCCCTGGGCTTTGCCAGGGCCCCTCACTCTCAGCCCTGGGCTTTGCCAGGGCCCCTCACTCTCAGCCCTGGGCTTTGCCAGGGCCCCTCACTCTCAGCCCTGGGCTTTGCCAGGGCCCCTCACTCTCAGCCCTGGGCTTTGCCAGGGCCCCTCACTCTCAGCCCTGGGCTTTGCCAGGGCCCCTCACTCTCAGCCCTGGGCTTTGCCAGGGCCCCTCACTCTCAGCCCTGGGCTTTGCCAGGGCCCCTCACTCTCAGCCCTGGGCTTTGCCAGTGCCCCTCCTATCCCAGCCCTGGGCTTTACCAGTGCCCCTCACTCTCAACCCACATCTCCTGCTCGCCAGGCCCTGGGCTTTGCCAGTGCCCCTTCTGTCCCAGCCCTGGGCTTTGCCAGTGCCCCTCCTGTCCCAGCCCTGGGCTTTGCCCGTGCCCCTCACTCTCAGCTCACACCCCCTGCTCGCCCAGCCCTGGGCTTTGCCAGTGCCCCTCCTGTCCCAGCCCTGGGCTTTGCCCGTGCCCCTCACTCTCAGCTCACACCCCCTGCTCGCCCAGCCCTGGGCTTTGCCAGTGCCCCTCCTGTCCCAGCCCTGGGCTTTGCCCGTGCCCCTCACTCTCAGCTCACACCCCCTGCTCGCCCAGCCCTGGGCTTTGCCAGTGCCCCTCCTGTCCCAGCCCTGGGCTTTGCCCGTGCCCCTCACTCTCAGCTCACACCCCCTGCTCGCCCAGCCCTGGGCTTTGCCAGTGCCCCTCCTGTCCCAGCCCTGGGCTTTGCCCGTGCCCCTCACTCTCAGCTCACACCCCCTGCTCGCCCAGCCCTGGGCTTTGCCAGTGCCCCTCCTGTCCCAGCCCTGGGCTTTGCCCGTGCCCCTCACTCTCAGCTCACACCCCCTGCTCGCCCAGCCCTGGGCTTTGCCAGTGCCCCTCCTGTCCCAGCCCTGGGCTTTGCCCGTGCCCCTCACTCTCAGCTCACACCCCCTGCTCGCCCAGCCCTGGGCTTTGCCAGTGCCCCTCCTGTCCCAGCCCTGGGCTTTGCCCGTGCCCCTCACTCTCAGCTCACACCCCCTGCTCGCCCAGCCCTGGGCTTTGCCAGTGCCCCTCCTGTCCCAGCCCTGGGCTTTGCCCGTGCCCCTCACTCTCAGCTCACACCCCCTGCTCGCCCAGCCCTGGGCTTTGCCAGTGCCCCTCCTGTCCCAGCCCTGGGCTTTGCCCGTGCCCCTCACTCTCAGCTCACACCCCCTGCTCGCCCAGCCCTGGGCTTTGCCAGTGCCCCTCCTGTCCCAGCCCTGGGCTTTGCCCGTGCCCCTCACTCTCAGCTCACACCCCCTGCTCGCCCAGCCCTGGGCTTTGCCAGTGCCCCTCCTGTCCCAGCCCTGGGCTTTGCCCGTGCCCCTCACTCTCAGCTCACACCCCCTGCTCGCCCAGCCCTGGGCTTTGCCAGTGCCCCTCCTGTCCCAGCCCTGGGCTTTGCCCGTGCCCCTCACTCTCAGCTCACACCCCCTGCTCGCCCAGCCCTGGGCTTTGCCAGTGCCCCTCCTGTCCCAGCCCTGGGCTCTGCACAGGCACAGCAGCACCCTCAGGCCTTTCCTCCAGCCCCCTGCTGTCCCAGCCTTGGCCTGCCCCCACAAGGCATTCGTCTTCCCCCCCCCCGCCGTGCCTGGGGAGGAGCAGCTCTGCTGCGTGTGCTACTCCGAGTCCGTGAGCCCAGAGAACCAGTTGGTGCGGTGTGAGAAATGTGGGCACAGTAAGTGGTGCTGCCCTGTGCTGCCGTCCCCTGGCCTGTCTAGGCACTGCCTTCTCCTCTCTCACTAGCTCTCTCCCCTTGCAGCCTACCACCAGGAGTGCCACCTGCCCAGAGTGCTGGATGCCAGCAGCGAAGGAGCGGGGGGGCTCGCCGCATGGATGTGTCGGCAGTGCGTCTTTGCTGTGGCCACCAAGGTGAGCACGGGGCTGGCAGCTGCAACAGGCCAGACTGCAACAGCATCCCCTTGTGTCCCTAGGGATGTCTCTGATGTCCTCCCAGTTCCCATTGTCCTCCATCCACAGGTGTCCCACTACCTCCCACATCCCCCCAGCAGGTGTATCCCTCTGGCTCAAGCCCCTGTTCTCCTATAGTTGCATCTGATTTGTGTCCTCCTTCCCTCCCATCCTCACTCTCTGCCTCTCTTCCACAGAGGGGCGGTGCACTCAAGAAAGGCCCCTATGCCAAGGCCATGTTGAGCATGAAGCTGGTACTGCCCTATCAGCTCAAGGCTTTGGAGTGGGACCCTGCGCACCTGACCAATCGGCAGCAATGTTACTGCTACTGTGGAGGCCCTGGAGAGTAAGTTCCCCTGCAGATGCCTGAGGTCATTGCATCTGCTTCCTTGTGGTAAAGGGCAGGAATCAGGAATGTTCCTGCCCCTCCTAAAGTGAGTGCCTTGAGCAGCAGGAGGTCAGATCTGGATTGCAACTAGGCCCCTCAGTTTGGATCCCAAGAGAGCAGGCAAACCCGACCCCACTGCTTCTGCTTCAAAGGGGTTTCTAACTTTAGAGCTAAACTGATCTAGAGCCAGCAAGGCCATTTGGGTTTGAATGTCTTGAGCTAGTTCTGGACTGGGAGGAGGTTTGGAATTGGGAGAGGTATCCAGAGCAGCGTTCAGGCAAGGAGATCAATTTCCAGAGCCAGTGTGGAAGCCAGAGATTTCTACAGCAGGCTGAGAACAGGAAGGCTATGTCTACACTCGCGGCTCCTTGTGTGAGTAATAGGCAAATGAGGCTAAGCGTGAAATATCGCCGAGCCTCATTTGCATACCTAATGAGCCACCATTTTTTTCAGAAGAGGCTCTTGCACAAGAAGGAGCATCTACACTGCCCCTCCTAGCGCAAGAAAAACCCAATGCCGTTATACCTATTACTTGACAGGAAGAACAGCATTGCGCAAGAAGGGGCCGTGTAGACGCTCCTTCTTGCGCAAGAGCCTCTTCTGAAAAAAATGGTGGCTCATTAGGTATGCAAATGAGGCTCGGCGATATTCCACGCTAAGCCTCATTTGCATATTACTCGCACAAGAAGCCGCGAGTGTAGACATAGCCGAAGTGTGTTTTTCAAAGTGGCTAAAGGAGGCCTCACAGCCATGTCCATAGTGGGGTGGGGGTTTTTCTATGGGTGAAACGTTTTTCTAGGGCCTGTTCTGGCTTAGGAGGATAGTTCTGAACAAGTGTGTTTCTCAATGGGGTTCTGACATTAGATGCAGTTTCAAGAAGAGTCTGGAACTGGATGTTGAGCATGGGAGTAGGACAGGGTTTATGAGGTCAGGTTTTCAGAGGCATCTGAAGCAGCTTGTGTTGAGCCAGGCTCTTTTTTAGAGCCATTTCCAGGCTGGGTGTTTCTAGAGCAGGCTGGTCTTTGTAAAACAAAGGCCCCAAATAACTTGCAGCATGAGATTGCTCCAATAAAAGTTCCAGATTGGGTGGTTGCAGACTGGGATGAGATTTGTACAGTGAGTTGTGTCTGGAGGCGCCGGGTTTCTACAAAGGCCTCCCTCAGGGAGGGAGATTTTTCTAGGCAGTCCCGGGCTGGATGAGATGGGGTTTCTGGAGCTGCTCATGGGGTGGAGAGGAGGGCAGTTCTAGAGCTGGCTGGGGCCTGTAGTGGGTTAGCAGCTGCCCCAGATGAACTCTTTTCTCTCCAGTTGGGAGGGTGCTGGGCCCCCTGCCCAGCCCAGGCTGCCCGCCTCAGATATGTTCTCACTCTCTGCCTCCCTTTGTCCCCCAGGTGGAACCTGAAGATGTTGCAGTGCTGCAGCTGTGCCCAGTGGTTCCATGAGGCATGTACCCAGTGTCTGAGCAAGTCACAGCTTTATGGAGATAGGTAAGGGGGTGTGGGAGGCTGAATTCCACCCTATCCCTTGTGGAGACAGGTGATGGGACATGCAGGAACTGGGGAGGGAAGCGAGATCCATCCCATTGCCCTGTGGATGCAGGTGAGGGGCACAGGGCAGATTTGGGGGTGGGGCTCAGAATGTCTCACTCCCCCACACAGAGAGGTGAGGGCGCAGGGGGAGAGGTCCCTGAGAGCCAGGATTAATCCCCCCCCCCCACACACACACCTTGAATCTCTTCCAGATTTTATGTCTTTGAGTGCTGTGTCTGCACTGGGGGCCCCGAGAGCGTACGGAGACTTCCTCTGAGATGGTGAGTCTGGTCCCCCCACCACATGTTCACGTCCCCACTGGGCCAGCCCTGAGCCTCTCTCCTCTCTCCACAGGGTGGATGTGGCCCATCTCATTCTCTATCATCTTAGCATCTGCTGCAAAAAGAAATACTTTGACTTTGAGCGGGAGATCCTGCCGTTTGCCAGCGAGAACTGGGACAACCTGCTCCTGGGAGAGGTGGGGCTGGACATGGTGGGGAAGGGGCTAGAGCTGAGCAAGGACTGGGATGGAAATGAAAGAGGGAAGGGGTGGTACCCAGGCAGAGAGTGGAGTGGGGTGGGAGGGAGCTGAGGATGCAGAGACATTGCGAAGGCAGGTGGAGAATTCAGTAGGCAATGAAGGGTCCCTAATCCTCATTGATCCCTCCTCTATTCTCATTGTTCCTTGTAGCTTGCTGCATCCCAGTGCCCCGTCCTCCACCTGCCACGCCCTCGCCCCTACGCTGCATCCCAGTGCCTTCTGAAAAACTCTGCCACGTTCCACCAATGTCCCCACTTCTTGGAGCCACTCTGGCTCTCGCTGCTGCTGCCACGGCCTCGCCCCCATTCCCAGTGCCCCGTCCTCCACCTGCCACGCCCTCGCCCCTACGCTGCATCCCAGTGCCCCGTCCTCCACCTGCCACGCCCTCGCCCCTACGCTGCATCCCAGTGCCCCGTCCTCCACCTGCCACGCCCTCGCCCCTACGCTGCATCCCAGTGCCCCGTCCTCCACCTGCCACGCCCTCGCCCCTACGCTGCATCCCAGTGCCCCGTCCTCCACCTGCCACGCCCTCGCCCCTACGCTGCATCCCAGTGCCCCATCATGCCCTGGCATTCACCTGGACCCTCGCCAGTCCTTGCACATGCTGCCACCATCTCACCATGCTGCTTCCTCCCACATGGCTTGCTGGCCCATACATGCTCTGCCAGTCCCTCCCACTGCCCTGGACCCACGCAGCCCCCACTTGTGCTGCTGCTCCCTCGGCCCTTGCATACACTAGCACGCTGGCCCTCACATCCTGCAGCAGCCCTTGTATGCCCCTCCACCTGCCTGTGCTCTCAGCCACCCCTGCATTGCCACAGCTGGAGGCTGGAGCTTCTTCCTGCAGGGTTCAGGCTCGGCTCTCTGCTTCTCCAGGTTCATTTCAGGGAAGGAGATCAAGAAGCGGAAGGGTCTCTTTGGGCTCCACATGCGAGTGCCGCCTCCTGCACCTCAGTGCCCTGCCGATGCCACAGCCCAGCAGCCCCAGGGGCAGCCCTCACTTGCTGACAGTCGGTGAGCAGCCTCCCTGCCCCACACGTGCCCCCACCAGCAGGGGGGAAGGGCAACACAAGCGCAGGGACCCCCACGGAGGTGCTGTGCTGGGGGACTGAGGGAGAGGACAATGGAAGCACCTGCCACGTATTCTCCCTGGGGAAGTTTGGGGGCCACAGAAGCAGAAACAGTGTTGTCGGGAGGGGCTAGTCTCCACCCTCTCATGCTTACCAGGGGTCACTGACCCAGCCCCCTTGGGCTCCCAGTGGAGCCGGCCGGCGCGGCCCCCTGCGTGCTGTGCAGATAAGGAGGGTCTCTTACAGCTTCCTTTCAGGGCAGGGCAGCAGTGGGGCAGGGCGCCGGAGGCTACGGAGGCGGAAGGTCCCTCTGGAACCCGCAGACACCATGGAGCTGAGGAGCAGCAGGGAGAAGTGGCAGCTGGACAGAGCCCTCCCCCAGGTAGGCCAGACAGAGCCCCAGCCTCCCACATTGCCCCAGGAGGCCCCCTTTGGATGCCTTCCTGATGGCCTTTCCCTGCAGGAGGGGGTGGAGCCTCCCGTCAGTGCTAGCCAGACCTACTGTGGCTACAGTGGCACTTCCAGCACCTACAACTTCCGCCGCACAGACGCCCGCTGCCTGGAGAGGTGAGTGGGGAGCAGCAGGGTGTGTGTGGGGGGGTGCCTTGCCAGCCCTGCATACACCTCATCTCTCACACTTCTTGCCCACAGTGCTCCCATCAGGATGTTCGCCTCCTTCCACCCCTCTGCCAACACCGCCCGGCCCCTGAGGTGAGAGGAGCAGAGCCCGGGGCATTGCTCTCTGGAGCCTGGGCTGCAGCGGGAGGTGCTTTCTGGGGGCGCAGGGTGTGTGTGGGGGGGTGCCTTGCCAGCCCTGCATACACCTCATCTCTCACACTTCTTGCCCACAGTGCTCCCATCAGGATGTTCGCCTCCTTCCACCCCTCTGCCAACACCGCCCGGCCCCTGAGGTGAGAGGAGCAGAGCCCGGGGCATTGCTCTCTGGAGCCTGGGCTGCAGCGGGAGGTGCTTTCTGGGGGCCCGCCCCTCTCTTTTAAAGGCAGCTCAAGCGGGTCTGGACCCGGGCCAGCCGATTCTGGGCTGTCAGCGGTTGTAGAGCAGGGGTGGGGAGGGAAAGGGGCTCTAACTGGGTTTGGAGGGGGATCTTTGCAGGTTCTTTCTGGAGCAGGCAATGGCTTGGGAGTCGGGGGGGGGGGGGGGGGGGGGGGGCGATTGACGGGACGCACATCCCCATCTGTGCCCCGGAACACCAGACCTCCCGGACCCCAGAGAAGTACCTGCCCTGGAGAGCGAGAGCCCTGAGCAACCCCCTGCCCCATCTCCGCTGCCCCATGTCAACTGCCCAGCCCCGAGCACCAAGCACCAGCCAGAGCCCCTGGCCTCGCCCTCCTCCTCCAGCTCTTTGTGCCCAGGCCCTGCCCCCTCCACCAGTAGCTACTTTGGAGCCATGGGGCGCCTGGCCCGTGGGGAGGCTGTCCGCATCCTGGCCCGAAGAGTCACCCTGGATGGCACAGTCCAGTACCTGGTGGAATGGGGTGGAGGGAGCATGTTCTGAGGGGGGGTAGAAATGCCAGAGCAACACCTCCTCTCCTGGGGCTGCCGAGTTGTCAGCATCCCCCCTCTCCCCCCACTGAACAGAACGCACCTCCCGGGAGCCCCCAGGACAGTGCAGGGTCAGGCTTCTCCCGTGGAAGGGGGTGGATTTGCCCCTCTCTGATGGGGGGGGGTCTCACCTTCAGCTTGGATGTAAGGCAGGAACGGCTTAGTCCTGCTCAGAGAAGGGCCCCAGGGTGGAGAGGGGCGCCCCTCCCTCCCCAGGGCAAATGCTTCATTTTAGTCAAAGGGTTTATTTTCTTGTTGCATTTGTAGGGTTCTGTAAAAACTATTTAAACGAGGGGGAGAGCAGAGCATGGGGCACCCCCCGAGATGGGTCTGGCCAAGGCAGAATGGGCAGCTCAGCAAGGCCTGGGAGGAAAGGGGTGCCCCCCCGTCACCCATCCTGCTTTCCCTGCTGTATGGAGGGCACCGGTTCTGCTCCCCACAGGCCAGCTGTGCCCTCTCCCCCCAGCGTGCTGCTGCTGCCACACTGCCATTCTGACTGTAAAACCACACCTGCAATAAACAGCTTGCTGCAGCCAGACTCCGCCTGCTCATTGGGCAACGGGCGGCCAACTCCTCCTCCCCAGGCCAGAAAGGGAACCGGCTTCCAGGCACCACCCCGGGGCTGGGCGTGACGCGAGCGAGACACGGACCCTGCCAGGTGATGCTCCGGGGCACTTTATTGGCTACAGCATGCGTGGGGCGAGGCGCGTTGCTGCGGGGTCTCACTCCGGCACCGTCTCCCCAACCCACTGCAGGTAGGGCGCATTTCCCTGCTGGATGGGCAGTGCAATCACTTCGGCCACTTCGTAGGGGTGCACCGACCTGTGGGGAGATGGGGGAAGGGCTTCTCAGCAACTCCCCGCTTTGCCCCCGCCCCAGCCACTGACTGCTCTGCCCCTGCAGCCTCCTCCCCCTCCTGCCATGCCCCAGGAGGCAGGGAAGCAGACAGCGGACACTGGACTGACCGGACAAAGTCGGTCAGTGCTGGGATCCGGGAACTCCGGGTTTTGATCATCTGTGGAGAGACAGGTGGAAGGAGGTCAGACAGCGGACACTGGACTGACCGGACAAAGTCGGTCAGTGCTGGGATCCGGGAACTCCGGGTTTTGATCATCTGTGGAGAGACAGGTGGTAAGAGGTGAGGGCTGCCCACTCCGCTGGGGGAGACAATGCAGGGCAGACGGCAGGAGCCT